GTACTGGAGCATTTTATTTCGCGTGATGGTTTGCCTTTTGTTGGATTTAAGCTTGTCGTATGTCTTCTTGGTGAATAATTAGAAACCAGTTTCCAAAATTTTCTTCTTCAAACATGGAAGAGGTAAAATATACGACATGAGGTGTAAATGAAGGGGTTTCAGGTCATAACGTCGAACAAGTGCCTTTATCGGACACAGCATAAGGATTGCCAGGGGTTGAAATTTAAACACTGCGTTTCTTTCTATTTTTGTACACTGAACTAAAAAAATAGCTAAGGAATGACCATCATCGCAAGAGAGTATGCCAGATCTTGTTCAGAACAACGTTGGCGTAAGTTAACAGTTTTCGCCTTTAGGGTAGACAGTCAATTGTCTTAACGCCACCAAGTCTTTCTATGCTCGCCATTTCTGCGTATTACAATGGTTTTGCAAAAGCGGAAAATATTATTTGAAGACTGCCTGATGTCCTTTTGTGACTTGTCTATTTAACTGCCAGCAAAAAAAAAAAACGAATGTCTTTCATTTTCTCACATTCTCAGACAGCTGCGCTGCCTTTCCCTACAAAAATTTTTTTTCCCACATTCTCAGAAGAAACATTGTAGGAAGAACTCCACTGTCATGACCTCTTTGAAGCCAGGTTTAACAGGTAAACATGCTTGCATGGGGGGTTCACAATCCTTTCTGTTCTAATTTCGGTTTTAGGTTCTCAAAGCTAAAACATTTTCCACCGTTTGTAAGGTATTTGTCCTTTACTTGGATTTACGTTTGGCTACTTGACCTTGAGATCAGAAAAGTTGGAACTGCAACATATCGACAACACATTATCATGATAGATACCATCACCTTTTGGTAAAGGATCGTAAAGGACAATTTGGAATTGTAAGCCATTGTTATAGGATGTCTCTAGACGATGCAGAAGAAGAAGATGAATAATTATTGAGGATCATGAAAGAATTCAATGTCGATATCCCTTTTACAACGTATTTATTCACAACAAGCAGTAAAATAGGTCTAACCACCAAAGGAGACCAGGAGAATTCACCGTCAAAACATATTGGTGAGATCAAACATACAGCAAATGCAACAAACAGTAGCGGGTTCATACGAGAGGGGATGTAGAACACGAGAGGGCAAAAGATTACAATGCATACAGAATAGTATTTAGTAGATATGAGTGTGATATGGAAACAAATAGAGGTATATTTCGACTTGATGATACGAGGATGATACGAAATAGGAAAATCACGTGTTATAAAAGTAATGGCGGTACGAAGGAAAAAAAAGATGTACGTCTACGGTGAATGTACTTCGCAATCGCAGGAGAGAATGCAAAAGGAGTGTTGGATAAAAGCGTGTAATTTTGTTGAGGGTGTAACATAGAAAAATGACAACAGCAATAAATTAGTATATAAAAAACAAAGAATGTGTTTGTTTTGTTTTCTCTCATTTGTTTGATTAACTGAATCTGAGTTCGACACGAGAGGAACTTTCAAATGTAACTTTAAAAGATTTAATAATTGAATCTGGGTAATAGCAGTTGCTGTTATATATACAAGTTATTGTGACAGGAAGTTAGTTAGCCCTTCGGTGAAAAGGACAGGGTATTTGAAATCACATTCACAAGGATTTGCGATACGGTAATTATCTTCGTGTTTTGTAGATTTATTTCCTTTTACACAATTCTTTTTTATCAATAACCAAATAATGATAATGTCAACGTTTTGAAGCTTTCCATACACGTTCTATAATGAGCACACCAAGTCTCTTTTAAAAACTCCAGCCAACGAAAATAGCCTTTAAGGCCATTTTGATTGATGTTCTTATCCTTATTTTACTAAGAAAAAAAATCTTTCCCAAAGTAAACACCGGGCATATTTTACGGTCTACCTCCGGTTAGATATTTTTCCATAGTCACAGCTTAAGATTCGATACTTTTTTGGCTTTGCCTAGGAGATCACATGCTGTAGTGATTGTCCCTTATGCGCCTTAAGCCATGTAAAAATAAACAAATAAATATTGACCTGAAACTTTTGAAAGTGTCCGCTCCTTAGCTATCATTACAAACAAATGCTACCAAAGAGTGTATTACCAATCTCTTTAAATCTTTATCCCCAAACCGACATTGAGACATTAATCATCAAGGTCAAACGAACATTTTCAAATGTAATTGCACCTATTACAACAAATAAAAACCGCCGAAAATAGGGATTTTCTCTTCCTAAACTCAACCTATCGAGAATGAACGTTTGAAAAGGCTTTAAGAAAAATAATCTTTTGGGTAGTAATGGCAACAAATAAAAAACTTGCGTCTTACTTCTTAATAGCGTACTGAGCAGAATATAAAAAGGATCACAAACCCAAAAGTGAAACGTTTGGCGACGAGATTTATGGGATAAAAATTACTTTTAAATGACTTATCTCAACAGTGAATATCCTACACGATCCGGCAGGTAATATATAAGAGAAAGTGTTGTATATGGTATACCTCAAACGGTGTATACTGAGCCACTCAAAAATGTTTGATTATTATGCAGCTTTTAGACACAGCCACGAAAACACGTCTTAGGCTATGATTAAGCGTACTTTGGCTGTTCCTGAACAAAAGTCTTGGCGGATTTTCCGTTCAAAGTTCTATCGCAGTTGTATTCTCAGAAATTTAAAAATGGCTGTACCTGCGTCTTTTTTTGTGTCTTTTGTGTTTTGTTATATGTTGTGTTTCAGGTGTGCGATGTACGGTTCCACATCAATAATGAATTCGTTTTAAAGAAAGAAATGAGGACTTCAAATTCATACAGATAGTCATAAAAAAGATGCGTGTGCTAAAAGCGCAATTAGTGGATCCTAATTGTAAACATCATATACCCATAACGCTTTTGCGTACACACATAAAAAAAGTGGAGGGGTATAAAATTGTCAACAAGCTCAGGTAACGCCCCTTCTAATTTACGTGAAACTGGTTGGGCGTACAATCTTTTGTTACCTTCTTTAAATTAAAACTCAGTTCCCCAAGGGTTTTGCCATCATCAAAACCCACGTTGGCTTTTGGATTCCAAGGGAACACCTTCGCACACTAAATGAAGAAAATTACGTTGTTATTGGAAGTTAGATTGCCTTAAAAAATATTTTTCCCCCAATTTTTGAAAAACGTCACCTGCTTTCTACAAATAGTACAACCAGCTTTTCCAATTTTTTTGTAAAATCTATTTATTTGATGAGGATAGTTTTAAGAAGGTGGTAGAGGTAGAGCGTAGATTCATCTAGAGAAAAAACATATACTGTTATGGTAGAACCTTCATTTCGTATGACAACGTAGAATTAGATAGAAAATAAAAACGTAATCTCTAAAAGATGAACCCAAGGCATTTGACAGACAGACTCTAGGAAAAAAACACCCAACGGTTAACAACTACTACACGGACCAAGAGCAATTTTGCTATTTCCTTTTTCTCAAGAAAAGCTCGTGGAACCTTTTGAAACGACCAAAGCTGCAAACGTCATTAATCAGAATGTGAAAAAGTAAAAAGATGTCTGTAACCAAAATCGGGTTAAGCCATGCCTTTTTAGGAATTGATCGTCAAACAGACGAATTTGATAACCCATATTGCAATGCTAATTCTATCGAACATCCACAAAACTTTATCCAGCATCCTACCAATGTTTGGTTACTAGAGCCAGTAATAAATGATTTTTAAAACATTGGTTCTACCATACGTTTGGCCATTCAATTTATAAAAAGTAGGTCCAATCAAGTTTTTTTTTCTGGGCAATCTAACTTCAAAAAAGCAGGTGGAAGCACAGTAAGCTGGTAATGTTCCCTTCAAAATCAGGAAATGGATTTAAATTATTGCAGTGTACCCTTTGAACACACGAATTGGTTTTAATGACAGAAAGAAAATAAAAGCTGTTAAGCGCAACCAAATTTTCGTAAATATGCGGTGGTCGTTGAACAAATCTTAAAAGCGTGTTGCTAATTTTATCCCCCCCCCCTCCATTTTTTTTTGAGTATACAAATGCGTACACATCCAGTGTATTTTTCTGCAGCTTTGTTTATGTTATTTGTTTACGAACGGGGGATCAAAAAATCGACTTTTTTGGATTGTGGGGGCAAAGCGATTTGGGGGGCTGGGGGTCTATGATTGGGGGTTTTTGGGGGAGGCTTTCTGTAATACGCATCGGAGAAATTCTTATACATATACGTTCACATGCTATATTTACGTCAGAAAACCAGTTCTTATTGTATGAGACTTGTATTATAATGATTTATGAAATAAGCCATAAAGAAGAGTGATAGTAATGCAACGGGAAAAAACAGATACTGATATAAGTCTGTTTTAGAAAGATAGCCATCAGAAAAAATATCAAACTTTAAGATGAAAACCTGATATACCTTAAGTTATGATTAATGTAACCTAACCATATTTTAAGAAATAAAAAAACTGTGTTAAAGAACAAATGTATAAATTAAAGAGTAATAAGATCTACCTTTCTTCCTTTCGGTATATCCTGAGCGAATAAGTTAATTATAAAGTACATGTTAATAAAGTAAATAGCCATGTAATGATCATTTATAAAGGCTTACAAAAAGTTGATTTTCAATAAAAGTACAGAGTAGCTTCTAAAATAATCCTATCGAGCTTTTAATATCATTATCGTCTGCTCTGTTTTAAGACTTTTTTACTTAGCAACACCAATAGACAACGGTACATACCAAAGAGAAACTTTTAAAAATCAATACGTGAAAGAAAAAGGGGAGTAAAATAAATTCACATTCAACAAATAAATAACTTGCATCTATTTCCTTTTTTCAATTATTTGTTTCGATTTGTAATCGCAAAAATGTCCTCCTAGTTCTCATTTTTCCGCGTAAACGAACCTTCAACACAGTGCCTCTTTGGCAAGAAATATTTCTCCAATCCATCGAATGCGAATCGCCATTTAGAATTAGCACATAACTCACGCCTTTGGCAGTAGGATTTTTGTTGTGGCTTTAAAATTTATATATGTTAATATCCATTTGTGACACAGACACTGATGATTATGATATGACAAATGATGCTCCCGCTGTCGAATCTTCTAACGACATGGTCGAAGTAGAAGATGGGTCTAGTTATTTTGATGATAATGACAATCACGACAATTATGATATTTTTGACGAAAAGGTTCTGGTAGACAGCGTTAGTCAACCACATGAAGAACCAGCTCATACTTCATACTTCAACCTTTCATGCCAATCCATTTTATCTATTCAAAAATGAAATGGAACTCAAATTCTTAATGTTTTCCAAAGGCTCTCAAGACAGATTTTCGCAAAGAATCATCAAAAAACATTACGTTTGATTCGATTTCTTATCGAAACATCGCATAACGAAAGAGACGTAATCCAGAATCAACCGCAAGGATTTGATACTATCAAAAACGTACCATCTGACAATCGTATCTGCAAAAGTCATTCCTAAAGACGAACGTTCACCCGTCTTGAAATAGATACTTTTGCTGTTCCCAAGGGTGATGGTTCGACCGTCGATCCGACGTATATCAAACCATCGAATTATCTGCGTTTGTTAATGTAGAACCCTACTAAGGTCTCTAATTTGAATTCAATGCCGGATTTTTCCCTAAACAAGAGAACCACACTCAATCAAGGCCTCAAATGGAAGGAATGCCCATTATTCCAGTCCCCCATGGTTCCAAAAGAAGTGAGCAGAAATTCAAATGATTTTTGGTTAGGGGATGTAGTGATTAACTCTTCTGGATTAACACATATTATTTTAAAATTCTTTTGTGATGATCTGGCTTACTTCTAATAAAATCATCAACATAAAAATAACATCAGATACACTTACATCATACATTCTACACTAAAATATAAATATCTCAGCATCCATACTTGATAAGAAAATACACTTCTTTAGTCTCTACACGTCTTTAACTAAAATAGTACAAGAAGACACTGCACTAAAATAGTGTACTTCCATTATGCAATAATTTTATAATTTAAATTCAGGCATCTTATATATATCCTTTCTTCTTTGACCTTGATAATCCCTAATTCTCTTTTAACTAAATAAAACATATCAACAGTCTCAAAGTATTCTGACTTTTGTTTTATTTCCTTTCTGTCTGAATTTTTTATTATCCAAAACACCACATCTTTCCCTTCGAAGGGGAAATTTTTATTGAAGCATATGCCATAGAGCTTGATCATAACACCTTTTTGGCTATACTTACTTCGGAAAAGAATGCCATGTCTATATCAAATGTTTCATTCGTCTTATCTCTTTTGGAACTAATTGACATGTATCTACTCGCATCGATGAATATCGTCAGCAACACTGATCAGGTTGTACGAACCCACTCAAGATAATTAAATGGGTTCCATCAAGAATTTATCAACTACTGCCTTTCCAAACGCGATAAAGTTCCAATTGACCATTCATCAAGGAGATATATGAAAGTTCGAATTGTCCCAATATTTTTGTTCTCTGACAATACCAGTGGAAATAGATCCAAGAAATGGGATTGTTTTTTTGATACTTAGACCATGAACATATCGGCACTTCCTTTAAAAATAAGCAATGAATACGAAAACCATTTTTTTATTTGTACAAGTAATCATAAAATAACGGCAATGGAAATGATAGAACCCTTGACGAATGATTTGTACAACTTGGAAAAGGGGATAGTTATGTACGATTCCCAATTCAAGCAGAATGTTATCGTAATTTCTCCAGTTTTATTTATCCGTGGTGATAATGTACGTCAGGCCGAAATTGCTCTTCACAAAGGATCTAGGGCCACCCACCCTTGTCAATTCTGGTACTGGCAGTCGGACCCATCAAAACCTGTGGATGCTAATGGACAACCACTATCATTGCATTTGTGGTATTTGACAAAATAGTACATAGAAAAGTAATGAGATAAAAATATATTTTTATTAGAGGTAAAAATAGACTAAAAGAACTCTGCTGCTATGAAATAATTGATCCTTTTTATATTGCACAACTCTCCTGAGATTTAATGATGAGTCAACCTTTCTGGTTTTGGAATAGATCTATACTTTGTTTCCCGCCTTGGGTTAAATGGATACTACTCGCTAGAGTCGTTTCCAGTTAACGTTGTCCCATATCAGTGGATCGGGAGCATGAGTATTCTAATAAATCTTTAGTATTACGAGACACTTATTTATCAGATCATGCAACGGTTACTGTAAAAGATGCATACTTGTTTGTCAAGTGTAATTGGCAATAGAACATAATAGTTGATCATTTATTCATTATCTTTGTAATGAATAAAATACGATCCCAAATATAAAATGTATTATCGATATTTTTATATTTGGTTGTAGAAGCTAGGTATCCATTAATTCGTACACTATTTCTTCATACTCTTTATAGGCAGTATAATTATATCAACATATAGGTAAATGAGCCATTTATACTAATAGCTGTTCTATTCTCTCTATGGGTAGCTACGCCATTGAGAGAACTATTAATATTAAGTTTTTCTTTCTTATAATTCTTGATTTGATCTGAGAAGATTCTCTTCTCGATCGGTGATATCGTAACTCAGCGGTATAGCTTTCTGTATCCAACTGTCATTCGTATATCGTATTTAGGCCAATCATGCAATCTTTTATATAGAAGTATGTACTCGAAGTAGGAGAAGTTGTATAGCAGTATACAAGCGTATGCTGATATGCAACATCAAAGGTTGTTTTAATTTCATAGTTTATTTATTTTAAACGATTTGCTTAATTATTCTTAAGTGAATCGTACCCAAATACGACAGCATTATAGTGCATCTGGTTTTTCTGCACCTTCTCGTACACTCCAAGACTATAAAGACTTTGCGACTTTGCAATATCAACAAAGACCGGAGCCGGTTTTTCTTCCAAACAGGGACGTCCTCGGGGAAGGATTGCATTTGAAAGCGATTAGAGCAAACTTGGATTTAAGTTTACTGGCGGTGAGCATTTTTTAAAATTGGATGCCATCGATCTTTCAAAGGACCTACCTGTCGAGATACTTCACACGTTGTTACTGGGAATGACAAAATATTGTTTTATAATTGTGTATGATAACTGTATGGATAATAATCATATCGAGTCATTGACAGATCTATTCCGCAATTACAACTCAAAAGCTTTCAACCGTAACTTGACATCATCATTGACAAACTTTCGCTCATTTGTCGGTAGAGACTACAAGATCATGGTACAGCTACTTCCTTCGTTGCTTCAACAATCTCGTCTGGATAATGCCAGATCATATCTTAACCAAACAGTTTTCGAATCAATTTTCAATTGCTTCAACACGTTAGCATCACTTTCGTCTCTCATATACATGGAAAAATTGATAATTTCGAACAATATAAAAATATGTTAGTCGTTTTAGTAGCAGAAACAATAGCGGCTATGTATAATCTTCAGCATACATCAATACAAAATTCACACGGTAGATCAGCAAATTCTGGACAAACTCCCCTAGCAAAAATAAGGTTCTCATCATTATGTAACAGACTAAAGCACACTTCCTAGTCCATTTATCAGACGATGTAGAAATATTTGCTGGTGGTCCTCACACTGAGGCTGGACATTATGAACAGCAACACAAGTTTATGCGAGAGCTACTATACCATACTAATCGCCATAATGGTCCAAGAGATGTAGTATTAAGATTTTCGGAAGAATATATGCTACGCCATATGTGCCAAGGTGGATCATTTATAAGAGATTCTTCGGCACCAATGTATGAAATGTGCAGTGAAGGTGTTCTTTTGTCTTACAATCCAATGCTTTTTCAAAGCGAGCTTGACTTGTTAAACAATAATAACAGTAATAATAAGCTGACGTTGGTCTCGCTGCTCTATTCAGAAACATGAACAGCCCAACAAATGGTCAAACTCTTGGAAGGATTTCACAAAAAGCAAACGGCTACTATTTCGTTGAAGCTTTTGAATTTGTGCCGATAAAAGATGAGCATCTTGGTTTGGTAAGCATTTTCAGCACATGCGCAACTGATCTGGCCGGAAACTTTGTAACCCGTAGACTGCCATCCCAAGATTTTTTAATCGAAGATACGAGCTCCGAAGACTATGAGGTTTTACATGTTTTTGATATGTCACAAATGCCTATAGATGCACAGATCAGAAATAACCAACAGTTTTCCGTCGTCAATAAGTCCCATTTTGGAACTTTATGGTGGCTTCATAATACAACTTGTAGATAGGATAAAATTATTCACTAATTCTTCTTTATAAATACTCAAGTAATACCTGTATCTTTTCAATTAAGTGGAAAATTTATTGTTTTCATCCATGTCAATGCGAAATGGGGGAGTGTGGATGTAAAAACGGCGACTAATTTTTGTTGGGGGTGGAGGTGCTCTAGGGGTACAAAATCAATAGGCGGAGGGGGGGGGGGGGGGACAAACAATAAACACAAAAACATCGTCCAATATTTTATTTTTGACGGGAAAAAACTCTGGGCCAATGGTACCCGATGTTTATATGTTTATTTGACCCCCCAATATATCATAAATGGTATTGTTTACTCTAGGCGTGTAGTTAAAGCATAATACACAAACATTTAGAATTTTTTATTTGAAGTTCCGAGCCTGGTATAAATATCAGGTTTCATCCCATTTTAATTAAGTTCATCTTTTTTCTGTCTCGTATTTATCTTGTGTTAATCGACTATTTCAGTTATTTATATAGACCATCAGAACCATTTTTAATTTTTATGTTTTTTCAGTCTAGATAAAGTCGTATCAAAATTCTAACGGTATCACTTTTGGTTTTTACTTTAAATTTTGATCTCCATGCAAACTAGACCCTAATTTATGTTTAATAATAAGTCCTAGTTAATTTTGTACGTTTATCTTTATTGTATGTCATATCTTATTTTCACAAATTCTTAATATAGATTCTGTAAAAGATTATACCAAGTAATATGGGGACAGCACTTAAATATTATTATTTGAACATTCACTGGAGGACATTCTATACAATATTTACTGGTAGGAAAGACGACATTTCATAATCTATAAATTTATTGACATAATCATAAAGATTAGTAGTGTAATAAAATTGTTGGCACTCAAAATCACGGTCGCGTACTCATGGTGCGCGAAAAGAACTGAATAAAATAATAATGCCGGCTCGGAAGTTTATTTGACCGGGCAGCAAAAAATGATGCGCGTAAAATTGCACAATTTAGACGCGACGCCAATTCTTAAATTTTTTTTTTTTTCTGCTGCTCTCTATTTTCTATATTTTCATTAATGTCAGCAGGAAAAATTTACTCGGCCACATACTCTGGTGTGCAAGTGTATGAGACAATGATTCATGGTATCGCTACCATGGTACGAGGCTCCGATTCCTACTTGAATGCTACCCAAATATTAAAAGTAGCCGGATTCGAAAAAACCAGAAGGTCAAAAATATTAGAACGTGAAGTACTTACGGGTGAACATGAAAAGGTACAAGGTGGTTATGGCAAATACCAAGGCACCTGGTAAAAAAAATTAAATGTTGCCAATCTTTAAAGCACATTTATTGAAACAGCTTGTCTCTTTTTCCTGTAGGATTCCATTCGACAAAGGAAAAGAATTAGCAGAGAAATATGAAGTACTTGATAAAATGATGCCATTGCTCACGTTTGATCCCGATTCCATCAAGAGCCATGAAGAAATACCCACCAAGGAACAAGTTCAACTCGAAGCCAAACTTCTTGACAACCAATCACCACCACCGCCACATTCACCTCTTGACGAACCTTCCTCTGCCATCCCTTCCCAAAAGCGACCATTACTACAACCCACTACATCACCTCAACAACAAGGTCGTAAAAAGATGAAATCTTCTGCACTAGACACAACGTCCGAAGATTCTTTTGATGAACACCACCGTAATCTCCTCATGAACATCTTTTTATCCGACAATCCGGATGACACACCCACTGCACTTGCCTCCACTTTACTCACCAACGATATCAATATCGACCTTGTGATTGATGAACAAGGTCACACAGCTTTACATTGGGCTGCAGCCCTTGGCCGTACCAAAATTGTCGACCTTTTAATCTCTAACGGTGCGAATGTCTGCAGCATCAATCTTGAAGGCGAAACGCCCTTAATGCGAGCCGCCATGATCACCTGTTGTTACGAAAACAAGTGTTTTGCTCACATGGTTGAATTGATGTCTGATGCCATTACAGTTTTTGATCGCAAGGGAAGAACCATATTGCATCATATTGCTTTGACTGCCGATGTGGATGGTTATGCCGATGCAGCTATATATTACATGAAACGATTGTTCAAGACCGCACCCAAGAAAATTGTGCTAAAAAATATGTTGAACATTCAAGACAGGTTTTATGGTGAGACGGCTTTAGCCATTGCTTTACGTGCTGGATCATCCGATATTGCGGAATTTTTGACAAAACAAGGTGCTTCTGATCCTTTATTATCAAACTTGGAACCTGATCAATCGGCCGAGTTTGTTCCTGTTGATTACAAACAAAGTTCAAAAACACCTGATATTATTGCTTGTAAGTTGAAGGGATTTTTTTATTATTATTATTTTGTGTATGCGAAAGGGGAACTGGCTAGGGAAGGAAAAAAACAAGAAAAAAAAGAAAAGAAAATACATATACATATATAATTGAAAAGCTTTACATAGCCAAATGATGGAAATGGAGGAAGGGTATCAGGAACAATTAAGACAACGCGATATAGAATCATTTCAGACAAAAAAAGAAATGAATATGCTTAGATATCAACTAAATGAAGCGCAACGTCGACTTGAATTACCCGTCTCCATGCAACTAGCCGAAGCACAAAAGAGGATTCACGAACTTGAATTACGAAAAGTCCTCTGTGATGACTTGGTCATTGGTGATCATCATGTGGTTGTCAAGGAAGAAAACTCAGAGGAGGAAATGAAATCTAGTAAAGAACGCAAATTAGAAAAACGTGTAAAAATGTTACAATCTCAGATAGAATCTAGTACAAAGTCCATTGATAAATTAAAGCTGGAGTTAGAAGTATCCACTACGAAATCTAAACAAAAGGAAATGGAGTATAGAAGATTAATTGCGGCCAGCTGTAATTTACCGATAGAGAAAGTGGACTCATTAATTGGTCCATTGACGCTGGCAATTGAGAGTGATCCGCCCGATTTGGATATGGCTCGAGTGATTGGCTTTATGGAAAGGCTAAGAAGACCCAATACACCTCATGATTCAACTACACCCGTCTAAAGAAAAAAAGAATACCCCCACCTCTCCCACCCATTATCATCATCATAATAATAATAGCAATAATAAAGAATAAAAAGAGTTTATTTCCAATTAAAGTCCTGCTCAGCAGTATCAGTGATCATTTCTCCAATAGCAAGAGAAGCCGTACAGGCTGGACTAGGTGCATTTCGAACATTTAAAATCAATCCATCCATCACTTTACGTTCCACAATAAAGTCTCCTGCTGCTACACCTCCCTTTTCAAAGACCTGTGCCATGACACCAGCAAAACTAGGCTCGACCATTTCACCCGTCAATCCGGGAACAAATTTTTGTCCGCTTCGCAAGAAGGCATTCTTGTTTAAATCCCGGTACAACTCCCCCATGGACAAATTGAAATTTTTCAAGGCAAAAGCCCAGAATGCGCTATTCATGACGTTATCCCAGACATCGCGGATCTTGATATCAAAGAAGCGATAGCCTTCGCGGGAGAAAGTGATACAAGCACCGGGACCTACAATGGTTTGATGACCGCGACGTACATCTACAGTGGGTGTAAAATGAACTCCAACAGGAATACCTCCTCCACTGGGCACGGGATAGATATTACGTTTCACCAAGGTACGATACTCTGGCTTCAATTGGTAATAAGTACCTCTGAAACTCACAATACGATGCTTCTTATCATTGCCACCTGTCAATCCCGCCAAACGATCCGAGTATAAACCACCGCATGTAATCACATGTTTGGCTGTCACTTGTAACTGGGGTCCATCCATGATTTTTTCGCTACCGGAAATACGTACTTTGTTATCAGACGTCTTTTCAAATTTTTTGGCTTCGAATGATGTCTTGATGTCAACTCGACTAAATAAAGTTAGAACTTTTTATTTTTACCCTGATTTAAACAATATTTACCCGCTTTTTCTCAATTCTTTTGCGATACATTGACTAACTAACCAATAATTGACAATACCCGTGTTGGGAGATAAAAGGGCGCTATAAGCCTTGACATTGGGCTCTAATTCCGTTATCTATAAATCACACCTTGGTGGTTAAACATATAACCTCTTTCTCTCTCATTCACAATAAACTTACCTCGTCGCTGTTGATAATTTTCAACCCCTTGACGCCATTGGCAGTACCTTGACGATACAATTTCTCGACTTGAGCGTGTTCCTTCTCATTACATGCAACGACTAATTTTCCACAACGTTCTACGGGTAAGTTGTTGTCCTCACAGTATTGATACATCAAATCAGCGCCTCTGACACAGGTATGAGCCATTTGAGAGCCAGGTTCATAATACAAACCAGCATGAATCTAATAAAACGCCGATTTAAAAAAAGAAATTAGATTCGTATTTTTAAAAATACTAAATATGGGTATATTTTAAGACTTTACGACACCAGAGTTATGACCCGTTTGTTGACCAGCAACATCGGCTTCTTTTTCAAGCACAGTGAGTTTTAAGTGGGGATGACGTTTCAGAATTTCTCTTGCGGTAGCTAAACCAACAATACCACCACCGACTTGTTTTTTTAAAGAAGAAGTGTTAAATAACAAAAATATATCGTATGTGAATATATATTACCAATGGCCACGTCAAAATGATCATATCCCACGGTCTTAGAAGGATCTGCGTTACTGAAGTTTTCGGCTCTTAAGGGACCTAACAAGTCTTGTACTCCCTTACTCACTTGTCTACCTTCTCCAGGTAACTTGTCAAAGAGTTTGACTTGGAACCGAGGTAAAGAAGTAGACAATTGTCGCGAAAAGATTAATTTACGTGCAAGCATCTTTTTTTTTTTTAAGTTGATAGGTAAAGAAAAGAAGAAGAAAAAAGGGGGCTCAGGTGCAACAAGTCTCTTTTTATAGCATGGAAAGAGGCGGGTAATTATGCTCGCGCGCGTGTGTGTGTATGTGTGTGCGCGCACCACCGCCGCCATCCTTACCTAAATACAATTTCCGATTATTGATCGTGTTCTTGAAATTAGCTGGTAAGACTTTACTTTTTTTATATTCACGCATCATTTTTGAGCCCAAACTATGATACACATCATGGAATATGAGCAATACCCACATAAGGTTTATATGGTACGTATGTGTGATGGTGTGGGTAACTCAGTCGTTTAAAAGAGTCCGTTGTAAGCCACATCGAGATGAATATATTCCTATCTACCATCTAAGGTAGCACTAATCCTAGTATGTGAAATACAAACTTCTTTAAAACTCTTTTTTTGTACACTTGTATGCTCTTTGGTAATAACGTGTATATTCAGTTATTTCTTTTTTTTTTTTTTTTTTTTTTTTGGGTATCCATGCTGCTTATGTCTTCCTCTTTATTTTTTCTAAATGACCTGGCCTAAGCTGCGTTATGAAAGTGGTGCTAATTGGTCTTTCTTTCCCTGCTCATTGAATAAGAATAACTTACAAACCCAAACGCTCAATCACCAAACCTTTTTCTTTCTTTCTTTTCTGGGGCGATTGGCCATATGTGGTTTATGCCGGGAGAAAACGTCATGTCGGGACAAAAAGAGAGTATGCAGCTTTTCAACAGACATAAACCTGAGACAGACCCTACATGAAATTGGACAGGTTGGTACCTATAAAACCCTGTGCTTAAAGAATAAATGCAAAAATGGGGTTTTAATAAGACCAAGCCACTACCTATTCTAGGCATGTATAACCCTATAAAAAAAAATAGACACCGGGATTTTCGCTCTTTCTCTCTTTTTGTTTTATTTTAAACAGACACACAAATATATATACAAAAAAATGAGTGAAGCCAAAATACAACTTTTGGGCGTGTTGGGAGAAGCAACTTCCCAAGATTACCAACGCATGAAAGCAGCCGAAGATATGTTGAAACAATGGGAAAATGCACCTAGCTTCTTTGCCACCTTACAGGTACACTCATTGAATTCCTTTTTACGAAAAACGCGACCAGACGAATTAGTAGCTTACCTATCTTTAATGTGTGTCCTTATGGAAACTGTAGGATATCTTTTATGATCGCTCTGTGGATCATGATATTCGATTTTTAAGTGGTATATATCTTAAAAATGGTATCGATCGTTTTTGGAGAAGAACCGCCAAAAAGTAAAATGTCACTTTCTACTAAAAAAAAAAAGTCGTTAAAACTGAAATTGTTTTTTATTAGTCCTATTAGTCCAGAAGAGAAAATGGTGATTCGACAACGTCTACTTCAATTCCTTGATGAACCAAGCAGAAAGGTAAATATAGAAAACGTCAATTGAACACAGTCATTTCAAGGGATCTCGAACATGCCTTTTTTTTTTTAGCTTACAGCACAAAATGCCGTTATTGTATCTCGAATTGCTAGAATTGATTACCCCAGAGACTGGTACAGATTTATACACAACTATATCCTTCTAAAGCCCCCGCACCTCTTTTAACACAAAATCGTTTGTAGGCCTGATTTGCTTTCGAATTTAATCCTGTCAATGGAAACCAACACCTCTACCGATCAAGATCACACGCGCTTGATCCATCACCGAGTACTAGAAACCTTGAGTGAAGTACTGACCGAATTAAGTACTCGACTTTTATCCTCAGGCCGTAAACAATTTGCTGAGATCGCACCTACCATTTTTCAGTCTGTTGCACAAATCTATCTGCCCTATGTCGAACGTACCATCTCCAAAATATCTTCTTCGGGTCAATTTAATGCGTCGGAAGACTCTTTATTGATGGAGTTGGAAATCGTTGCTACATGTGTTAAATGTCTGAAGGTTTTGATGGTCAACGGCATTAGAGATGTTCACAAGTATAACGAAACCCGAGTATGTTTATCCATTTATCAAGTATATATAAGACACAAGGAAACTGATCATTTTTCACTATTATTAATGTTATTTAGACCTTTATTGAAGTCAGCCGTAAGCATTTAGAGCAATACGTGAACTGTCGTAAGTGTGTGCATGTGTGTATATAAAGGAAACGAGAGTAATCAGTGATTGATAGGCTTTGCATTGATCCAATTAAATTATAACGGAAAAATCAAGCAAGATTTAGAAACCACCATTGAGGAATACGGTACACTTTACTTGGCATTACAAAAGACACATCCTGTGTCTGCAGCACTTTGTCCGGCATGGCTGGACATGGTTCGTTTTTATTGGCAACATATCATGACAGAGGGACATCGTATTGTAGATCAAACTTCGGATGCCAACCCTTCCTTTTTATTGCAAGGCATGCTTTTAATCAAGGACACCATCAAAAATTCGTCTTACAATGCTGGTCAATTAGGTGCCGATCTTTTATCCGTCACGGATGGAGAAAAGGAATTAGCGCTGGAAGCAGGCCGTTTAATCCATCAACAATTTTTAACACCCGATTTCGTCAATGTTTGTGCCGAAACATTGGTCAGCCAATACATGCTGTTGACACCTGCTGATTTTAGTAAATGGGAAGAGGACCCTGAAGGGTGGGCGATCTCTTTAGATTCAGAAAATTGGGAGTTTGAATTAAGGCCTTGTGCTGAAATGACTTTTATGAACTTGTTATCTCAGTACCGTGATCAACTTGTACCCATCATGTTAAATTTGGTTGAACGTGTAGCGAGTAAGAAGAGGAAATAGTTCTATTGCTTCTTGATTTAATTAACAGGCTCTTTTAATTTATTTAGATGTCACGGATCACCAAAGTTTATTATTTAAAGACGCTGTCTATGATGCCATTGGGCTGGGTGTCAATTCGCTTTATGGTAGATTGGATTTCGAACCTTTTGTCATGAATCGACTTGTGGTTGAATTACAAAACAAGGATCCCAATTTCAAAATCCTTCGACGTCGTATTGCATGGATGCTTGGTAAATGGGTGACAGAAGGGATCAGTGCGGATTGTCGTCAAGTTATTTACGAAATCCTGTTGGAATTGATGTCAGAAGAGGAAGATTTGGTTGTGCGTTTAACGGCTGCGCATGGATTGAAACAAGCAGTAGATGATTGGGATTTTGATATTGATATTGTGCTACCTTATTTGGGTCGCGCCATGTCCTTACTCTTGAATTTGTTGAATGAGGTGGAGGAATCGGATACTACGATGAAATTAATTTCTTATCTCACTGCTATCATGGATCGAACCAGCATCAATGTTCGTATTTTGTTAGGACTCTAATATATGTATATATATTGTATACTGATAATAGACGTTATAGATGATTCCTTATGCCGCCCAGATCATTCAACTATTGACACCTTTATGGGGACCAAACACAGAGCCATTACTTCAATCCTCTCTTGTCGTCACATTCACCAAGATCACCAGCGTAAGTCTTGATTAGTTGTAAAAAAAAATAGGAATGAAAAAAAAAACTAACCTCTTTTTTTTTGTCTTTTAGATTCTTAACGAACAATCCGTTCAATTGCATAATATTCTTATTCCCATTGTGAGATATTGCATCGACCGTAACAATGTAAGTTCTCACTTTGACACATGTAAAAGAGAATAATGGGAGCCCTAAATACTAATCCGTGTAACATAGGAGGCACATATTTATTTACTGGAGGATTCCTTGGACTTGTGGTGGAGTCTTTTACAAAGTACACCTAGTTCTAGTGCAGAACTGATGTCACTTTTACCCGTTGCCTTGGAATTATTAGATTACGATACAGAGAATTTACGTAAAGTGCTGAAAATTATTGATAGCTATATCTTGTTGGATCCTCAATCCACTTTACAATCCCCCCATACTGCTGTCTTATTTTCTAAATTGGCTTCCAAGATTGGTAACTGTCGAGAACAAGCAGCTTCTTATATTACACATACTGTGGATTTAGCGTTACAGGGAGTACCTTTGCAAGTGTATGGGGAGACGCTTGTGCAATCAGGACTATTATCTAATGTTTTAAGTGTTTTGCTTCAAGATCAGGTAAAAAAAAACACATGTACACAAGCACGCACAAACACACAAATGGCTTACATATGAAAAAAAAAAATAGATGTACGGATATGCTATCATGAATTATATGAACTTGTTTGCTCGCTTATCTATTTATGATGCAAACTTTGCTATTCATGTGATTCAGCTGACTGGTCAGCAACAGCAGATTCCTGGCGACTTTTTTGGTGATATCATGGATAAATGGCTGGATAAAGTAAGGCGGGGACAGCTGAGAGAAAGGGGGGGGGGGGGTACACACCATTGTGCAATTGGACTAAACTTTTTTTTTTCTGCTAGTTTGACAATGTGAGCCAAGCAAGAGCTAGAAAATTGGCATGCATTGGGTATACAAATTTAATTTTGACTGGCAATACCACAGTTTTAAATAGATTGCCTAATTTGATGGCGATCTGGAGTGATGTAGGACCTGAAATGAAGGACAGTGATGGATCAGAGTAAGAATCGACCAGTGTAACAAAGACAGAGAGAAAGAAAAGATGAGAGGTACTAACATACCAAAAAAAAAGTGTTCTTTATAGTGAAACTGATATGGAAGGAGATATCTATGAGATTGATCAAAGTGCGGAAAAGATAAGAAAGAGTGAGGTAAGTTATCCTGTTAGACTTGGGGGACAGTATTTTAAATAGCGGACTAATGGAATTATTATACCAGCTTTCACATAACGATCCAGTGTATACCATTGACTTGATAAGTCTCATTCGTCAAGCATTAAATGAACCCTCCATTAGTGTACTTTTAAACCAAATAGATGCCACGCTTTTAGATCAAGTGAAGCAGTTATTACAATCCTAGTTAAAATACTAAATAAATCTGACCTCTAGAACAGAGAGATCCGTGGTAAAATATAAGTTTGTTTTATGGCGATATCTCGTCTAGTGTATGATATTTTTAGTATGCATCTTTAACATAATTATAGAATCTACCGATTAATTAAATAACATTGTGTAAGTGGATAATGGTACACTGAATGAGGTCAGGGTATACAAATCCTTGACGACTTTGTCCTTAAAGATATTGTGTGATACCCTTCTATGTTCAGTGTAGGTTCATTCATGTGTGATAAGCGTGAGAAACTTTTTAATGGCAGATACCATTACGAATGACATGAACATATACGTGTAGCAAAAATTATTGCTTAATACTTAATGTATGTATTATCTATCAATTAACCGACAAACTTATAAAAGAGGGACACAACCTGCATTGAGCTCAACCTAGAGATGGGAGCCTGTCCTGAATATCACACCATTATAATAAGGTGAATCACTGCAGGTTTAAACTTCACCCGTGTCCCGCACAAAAATCAGAACGCGTCCTTTTATTTATAAAAAAAATGCGTGTTTTATAAATCTGTATCATTTTGTTACATTTTTTCAAGTTACAAAGACTCGCCAGTTACTAACCTTTGTATGACACGTATTGAAATAGTCCAAGTTAAAAAGAAGAAGAAAGGAAAAGCTTGTAAACACATTTTATTTATAAACAAGAACATGGCTTATGTCAGAGACAAATTATTTTTACGCCTTTTATTTTAAAATCAAAAAAGGAATAGCTGAAAACTAGATAAATAACCTTTTTTATTGATTGATTAAATATAAATTAATCCCCGGGGGTGTGTATGCATGTGCTGCGCCTGCCAACTAACTTATTGGTGATCCAATAGTGAAAGCTTGCATTTTTATTAAAGATAATTTAAGCATCCTTATTTAACTTTAACTCCACATGGGTAGGTTGTAGATAAATTTAAAAAACAATTAATATGCGAAATAGGTGTAAACTTTGGGCGCATACAAAAAGCGACTTCCTACAAATCACACCAATCTAGAGTACTTATGTAATATTTTAAGCATATCCCTTTACGATCATGTAAACTAGCAAACACGTAGCTTAAATAAAGTACTACGCACGGTTAGAATATTTGTGAATTATATGAACGTGTTTACTTGTTTATCAATGGATGATGCAAAACTTTGCAATTCATGCGATTCAGCTGACTGGTCAGCAACAACACATTCCCGGTGACTATTTTGGATAAAGTGTAAAGGGGGGAGGGCGAGACGGGAAAAAAAGGGATGGGGTGGGGGTGGGGGAAAATCATGATGCAATATGACTAAAGTTTGCTAGTCTGATAAGATGAACCAAGCAAGAGCTGGAAAAATGGCATGCACTAAATGGTTATACAAGCTCTATTTTTTGACTGCGGGTGGATGCCACCAGTTTTATATGGAGTAACTTGGGAGCTGTAATAAATGATAATCCCGAGCAAGAGTAACTATGGAGGAATGTAGAAAAGCAACGTGAAATTGACATGGAAGGGGTTGTTTATGAAATTGATCAAAGTTCAGAAAAGACTAGAAATAATGATGTGGTAATTTCTACAATAGCCGATACAAAGCTCTTGTAGCGTAATGATCAGTAATGTACACCATTGACTAGGTACAGTATTATTATTAGTGGAGCATTCAATGAACCCTTTATCAGATTGCTTTTGAAACCAAATAGATCAAGTAATTAAAAATCCCACAAACAAAGAATTAAAAAACGTGACCTCCAAAACAAAAGAGATCCGTGGTGAAACGTAAGTTTACCTGATTTGCTTATGTCCCATCTACTTTTATTTCCTTATGACAATCCCCTTCTTTTTTTTTTCTTTTTTCTCTTTTTTTTCTTTTATAAAAACAAAAATCAATATGTTGATTACGTCTATTTTAGATCCAGTAGTGATGTGTACTAGCCTTGTCTCGGCTATGGTGTTTGTCAGTTGGTTTAGTTTTTGGCACAGGACAAAACTTGCCAGAAACGAGAAAGAACGAGCGTATGTGTGTACATTACTGAGTAGTTCTATCACCAGCACATGTTCTTTACCACTTGTCTATGAATTATTAAGCAATGGAGGAGACCTTTCAGCTCTCCTTGTATATCGTACTTGGACAGTAGTAGCCACGACCTTTTTTATGACATTCTTAATCATGGATCTTTGTATAGGTGTCTTTTTTTACAAGAACAAGATTGACATGCTTACAGGCTGGATACACCATTTGACTTATCTGATCACACTCACATGGGCGATTCATCATCAATACAGTGCAGTGTTTATCATGATGTGTGTGTTAGAAATCCCCACCTTTGTTTTGGCTTTAGGGTCGGTGCGATCACATTTACGTCGTGACTATGTATTTGCAGGTACATTTTTATTGACACGTATCTTGTTTCATGCATATGCTATTTCTTGTGCTTGGAAATTAAACCCATTTGGACCTGTGGTCAATGCATTGACTTTTTTCTTTCCTGTTCATTGCTTTTGGTTTTATGGTAAATATAATATGATGCTTTACAAAAAGAAATAGTACTAAATAACGACTCTTTGTTTAAATAGGGTTCATTAAACAACAAATTCGATTAATGAAGACAGATCCGAAAATTACGCCAACACGCACTGCGCCTAAAAAGAAGCAAGAAAGTGTGACCCAAAAACCCATCAAAACCACGACAACTATCATGATGAAAAAGAAGAAGTCTCCTATCAGTGAACCTAGAAGGAGAACTAACTATTCCAGCTATACCACTCCTTCATTTCATCAATCTCCTCCTGTGTCAGTACATTAATAATGATAACAACAATAATAATGATAAAATAAAAAATTATTTTATTTATTTATAACTGCTTTTTGGTTGCATCTGTAGTAGCAGTGTTTGCTGAGATGGGTTTAACACCTAATTTCTCCTTGACAGTAGCATAAGCGTTGATGACGGCAGGGGGAATTTTAGGATGAGCGGTGGGTGCTGTCAATAAACGATCCAGTTGAGAACCTGCATCTGTCAAGAAATCTCTTGTATCTGTAGACATGTAGAAACGCATACGTAAGAATTGAGCGTAAATCAAGACAGATAAAATGCTTGATCGGAAACTATTTAAAAAAAAAAAGATATATGAGCCTAACATCCCAAATGATATCAATAACAAGAGCTTACACAAAAAGTCCGAGCACAAGTCGCGTCATAACACCCACAACTTCAATTTTGGAAGTGAGTTCCATTGCCTTGTCGTGGTATTTGCTGGTCACATCTCGAATAGAGGTTTGTACCTTGGTTTGATGAGGTGCTAAAGCAGGGATCAAAGTCTTTTCGGTGTATTCCAAAACGTGGAACACGGAATATATAAAAAAGGGTAATAGTGTAACTATTGCATTGTTCATTTTAGCATATCAAAAATAAAAGTAAATCGCGTCTTTTTTATTCACTTACTAGCAATTCTTCTTGTTAATAAGAAGTAAACGGCTACAATTAAATATTGTGCGTTCTCATCCAAAAGCATTCTTTTAAAATAAGATTCATTGGAACCCAAAGGCTAAACGAGGTTATTTAAGCATTTATCTTCATGGAGTGATTTATTTAACTTACCTTGTAAGAATTGTAAAGGACGATACCGTAAGAAGCAATCACACCCAAGTAAGATACTCTATAAAAGAAGTTGCAAGGACGGAAGAGTAATTGGGATGCGAAAAAGACAAAGGCATTGACAACCGTTAAAGCGTGTCCAACAAACCATCCGAAGTGTAGGTTCTACATTTTATCATGATTAAAACAAATGACTCCTTTTTTCTGTCTCTCTCCTTTTACCTTAAAATCAAATTTCTCTTCAGTCTTCTTTTCACTTTGAACAGGCTCCATATTTTTTAAATAAAACAAGAAAGAAAAAAGGAAAAATTAAATGTGCCGTGCATCCGAAAAAAACCTTTTTTTATACCTGAAAAAGATGTGAGTGAGAGGAGGCAGATGAGACCTGCCTTTTGATTGGTCCAAATGTATCCTCTTTTTTTTTTTTTTTTTATGAAGTGTTGTGTTATAAATAATAATAGCATGACTTCATGTTATAGAAACCATATCATTAATGCTCCCCCTGTTGTAGTCCATGACCATGTCGTCGTCAAATTGAAGCGGGGTTTATATTTTCATGACAGTTCGTTTTCGCGTCTGTACCTTGTTTGGGATAAAGAAACCCTTTTTGATATGCTTGGCGATTTTTGATTGCTCCAGCACACCAAATGACGTATTTTATCAAGTCACATTGACGTATTAATTTCTTGTCAGACAAACAGAAGAGCAGCACTTTTTTTTAACTCATCTATCCAATTCTGAACGCATGAAATAGGGAACCATATCAGCCAAGTTTTTAATGTTGAGTCCAAAAACACGCGCTGTCGTCGGAGAAACAAACTAAATATATTTATACGGGACCCACAATAACAGATCACATTGATTTTCTCCTTTTGAGTTTTTTTGATATTTCTTATCTCTAATTGTCTCCAGGGATGAAGAGATGTAATACATTTTTCTTGATTTGATTTACCGGCAGATCCATCGCTAGCCAGGCTTTCAAACAGTTCCCCTAAATACAATCTGAAGCCATAACAGATCACTCAAAGTGCTTGTCAAGACTTTGCTAAATACATCTCTTTGATTAAAGAATAATTGGTTAAACTATCCTATTTTATTAAATAAACCATAGCTTTTTAAACGGGATACGACAGCAGTTTAACTCAACTTTACCTCGATAAAATATCCATAGAATAGCGAACATATTTTGTTAACTTCCTGTAGTACACCCGGCTTAAATACAAGCAATTCTGAACATAGTGATTGTCTATAGGTGATTTAGTAGTTGCACTTACCAATGACGAAGCATATTTTTTTTTCGGTCATCCTGCGAAATTCAATGAGATCATAAATGAACTTTGAGCGATACAAAAGCGAATAAGAGCCATTTGCCAAAAAAAAAAAAAAACGAACTTTGGCCAATAAAAAAAGCGAACTTTAGGCTGTAAGACAAGCGTATTTCAGTCGGAGACCAGAGCGACTTTGGTCAATTGGAAAGCGAACTTTGGGGTTGGAGACACTGCAATTCATACAATCTTATTTTGGAGCAACAGATGCTAATAAGAAATAGCACCGCCTTTGTATGGAAAGCCATGGTTTGAAAGGCGAATAAAACTGTCCAGAATGGAATTTTATAGCACCTCCCTTATAAAGCAACTAAAAAAAACGTCACTGAGTCCCAAAATAGCCACAAGCAAGAAGCAAGAAGAAAAAAAAAAAAAAAAGAAAAAAAACTTGGCAACTCTTTCATCTTTTTTTTCTATTTACATTATGGAAGGCGGTTTATTAGCTGAAATTCAACGAGGTAAAGCCTTAAAGAAGGCACAAACGAACGATAGGTCTAAGCCTATGATCGATGGTAAGTGGTGATGAAGAGAAAAAAAAACAGAAAAAGCACAAGAACAAACCTCTTTGTTAGTCAAACCTTCGAAGCCATCTGGTGGCTCACCAATGGGAATGGCAAGACCTCCTATACCTACAGGTGGTGCTCCTTCATTACAACATACAGCTTCAGCTCCACCCTCTGCTCCTGCACCAGCTCCAGCTGCTGCTCAATTGGGTGGACTGTTTGCTCATGGTATGCCAACACTGCGAAAGACAAGAGGTGCCGCTGTAGACACAGGAAGAGGATTCTCCGGTAAGTGTTTAAGGTGCGTGTGTGTATAAGTGGGTAAATGCTTAAAATAAAGGTATAGGTTCTTCTGGTGCTGCAGCATCACCTTCAATTCCAGCCCCACCTCCACCTACACCAGGTCGATCACCAGCATTTAACAATAATAGCGTGAAACCACCCAAATTAACCAGTAATAATACCTTGCCGAAGAATTTTAAAGCACCACCTCCCATCCCGGGCAGAGCATTGCCTCAATTCGGTAGTAGTGCACCTTCTGCTCCACCTCCTCCGCCTCCACCCACAACATCATCTTTTAACGCTGGTGGTGGACCTCCTCCACCCCCTCCTCCACCTCCACCTCCTCCACAATCCGGGCCCTCCGGTGTATCGCCCAAAATTCAAGCAGCCCTTGTTCCTCCCGTACCAGGCCGTTCAAGATCAAATAGTTCACCTCTTCGACCTGTACCACCTCCCCCGCCTAGAGCAATTCCATCTCCGCCTGCCAATGCAGCCAATTTACCACCACCACCACCACCACCAGCGATGGGAAGAGGAAATATCGGTGCACCAAAATTTGGACTTCCAGGTGGTCGACCTTCATTAGCGGTACCACCTGTATTACCACCAGGACGACCTAGATCCGCTTCCAATTCATCATTTAATAATAACAATCAAGGAAGACAGTCTCCTGTGGCTACACCACCACGATCCCCATTGCCTCCTCCTCCACCTTCAATTGGTAGAGGCACAGCACCACCACAAGCACCACCACCACCACCAGCGCCAGCACCACCACCTCCACCTCCTGTGGTAGGTGCAGGAAATAGTCGAGTACCTACAGCACCTGTGAATCGACAACCTACACTGACACCATTAATGGGATTAAGACCTTCTGCACCCACATATAACTCACAGCAGCAACAGCAGCAACAGCAGCAACAGCAGGTACCATTAACAGAAGGAGGTGGTAGATATACTTTTAGACCTACATCAGATTTGCCCTTGCCAAGGACAGTAAATATTTCACGCCACGTTTACCCCAGTGGAGAAAGCAAAGGAAATGGTAAAGTTTAAATATGTGTTTTACGTTATGTTACTAACATCACTATATTTTAGCTTATCCTTTAGATTATTCCAAGTTTCGTTAATTGGGGAATAAAGTGTCATGATTTTTTGTGTTTTAAAATAAAAAATAAATAAAAATCAGGAGATATTTATTCACACTGACATTTATATAATGCAACGTTAAAACCACAAATCAAGCTTTTCTCTCTCTTTAGCTTTCTCTCTTTCTCATATAAACGACATGCCTCCTTTTGTATTTGACTCGTTTCAACCAAGAGTGGACAAGACAAACAAGGATCATCCCGATTATCGTCATCCACTTTATGTAGGCACATGGAAAAGATCGATCCCAGGAAGAGATGATGACTTTGCTCGGGATGACATGGATGAGCCTCATCTGAAGCGAAAGCATGCTCTCCTTTTAAAGAACCCAGCTATTGTTAAATTATACGGTACCGAATTCAGTACTTTCTATATTGCCACATTGATCAACCTGGTTCAATTGGGTCTTGCTTACTATCTGGGTCGAACGGCTGTACATTGGTCCATCTATGCGCTCACTGCTTATTTCATTGGCGGTACTGCCACAGGGATGGTAGGTGTCATTATTCATGAAGCCTGTCATAACTTGGTGACAGGTTCCAGTGTGGTAGATCGCATGATTGGACTTTACACCAATATTGTCTTACCTGTACCTATTTCACAATCATTTCGTCGATACCATATAGAACATCATACATGGCAAGGCGTAGAAGGTATGGATCCTGATTTACCGCTTGAATGGGAAAAGAATTTGATTCGTGGTAATGCCGTAAAGAAAATTCTTTGGATCTTGATTTATCCCATCATGTATGTGGTACGTGGACTTGTTATGCAGCAACAGCGAGGACATACACCGGGAAAATGGGAAATTATCAATGTTGTATTTACCATTGTCATGGATACTGTAATTGCCAAAGTGTGTGGAATCAAAGGTCTGCTTTATCTGCTATTATCGCTTTGGTTTGGCTATTCGTTACATCCAGGAGCTGCTCATTTTATTCAAGAACACTATACATTTGATGATGGACAAGAAACATATTCTTATTATGGTGTATTGAACATACCGTTCATGAATATTGGTTACCATAATGAGCATCATGACTTTCAAAAGGTAAAAAAAAAAAAAAAAAAAAATTGATTTGGATGTCCGTAAATACTTAAATGTCATTTAGATTCCATGGACCAAACTTCCTATACTTCGTGCCATTGCAAGCGAATCTTATGACACATTATCCTATCACACATCATGGTTATTAGTGCATTGGAAATTCATTACGCAACCTTCCATGGGACCTCAATCTCGTGTTGTGCGTGATTATACTACCTTTAAACAAGGTCGATCTTTAATGAGAAAAATTCGTGAATATAACAATAAATAATTTTTTTTTTCTTAATAAATAAAGAAAAAAAGTGTGTCTTCTAAGTTGACTTTTCGGCAGCGGTAGGGAACCATTGATCCCATTTCATCTTGGCAGCTTCTTTAAAACGAACCATCACACTCTCGGCATTATCTAAAGCAGGACGGACATCCAAGTGGAAGACAGGTACACCAGGTACTTCTTCGGGAGCTTCGTAATAATCAATCACATATCTTCTGGATTGTCCACAACGGCTAATATACCAATCATGTCTATCAAAGGGCTTGGGAGCACTAGACACCATTTTTTTCATGTTAATATAAATTCCTCTTCATCTTCATCTCTCTTCTTTCTTTCTTACCCGAATAATGAATGCCATTGAGCTTTAGGTGTGATATCTTGGGGTCTACCTTGGAATTTTGATAAATAAGGATCTTCAGCACAATCACTAGATAGATAAACAAATTAAGATCTGAAAAAAAAAAATTCTCTGATATAAACTTACCACTTGTATTTGGATTCCCACTTCAACACCTCATTCCAGGCTTCTTCGTTCAAAAAGTTATGAATATCTACCATAGTTTCAATTTCATTTTCGGGAGTTTCCCAGCCCTTTCTACGAAGAGCATTGTAAAATTGTTGAGGACTAGGGTATTCCCATTTGGATGTAGCTCCCTTGGCTTTAGGAATAGAAGAAGTTACACGCTCAGTGGGTAAATCCACAGTTTGATCGGCTTGTGGGGATTGTGTCAAGTTGGGAATCATGTTGAGCTTGTTCAACTCATCATCACCGCCCTTGTGCATGGGGCAGCCAGGTGGGAACTCGGTTTTCTTCTTTTCTTCTACTTTCTTGGGCATGGGACAAGAAGCCTCTTCCTTCTTAGGCATGGGACAAGACTCTTCCTTCTTGGGCATGGGACAAGACTCCTCTTTCTTGGGCATGGGACAGGATTCCTCCTTCTTGGGCATAGGACAGGATTCCTCCTTCTTTGGCATAGGACAACTAGGTGCTTCCGTCGACATTTTTTAAATGGGTAATATAGGAAAAATATAAAAAATTGGGAAAGGGTGCCTTGCTTTTTTTTTTTTTTTTTACCTGTTTGACATATAATTTAAACTCAGGCGTTTGTCTCAAAAAGGAACATGGCAGTCACGTACACCGTGTTCCTGACAACAATGAACTTTAACTTACTGTGCTTCAACTCTACTTTGAATCTTGTAACTTTATTATGCTCGGCATCGTGTTTGGTAAATGTTTAAAACATTAAATTCGATTAAGTTCTGATGAACAGGGAAGATCATACGCACACTTATAGTTGCTATTTCTTTCAATAACCAAGTACCCTCTTTGTTTTTACTTGTATAAATCAGTGCTTATTATATGAAAGTAGAATCACTTTATCCCTTAACACTTGCGATTTCTTTTGTTTTCGCTTCTCTAGATATCGTATCAGAGACTTTTATTATATATCAATCAATATTTATCTTAATTATCTTTGGAGGTTGTTCATCCACACGCGAATACTCAGAGTTACACTCCCATGGATTATTATTAGTTGTCAACAAGGACAAAAAAAGCTAATTATAGCTCTAAAAAAGTTAATTTTGTTCCGGATTATGCCAAGTTAGCGGATATAAAAGTTTGACGGCGTTGGGTTGTTTCTTATAGATGTTTAACATGTTCGAGTCATCTCTCGGCAACCTCCGCTTGCTATTCTGTCACTCAACAATGAAATAATCCTCCCTTAAGATTTGACTACAATCCTGAAACTCACTTAAAGCCTCTGCAATAGGCTGTATGCCATTATTTTTGATTTTGTTAGTGAGAAAGGGATACATAAATAGTTTTCTTTACCAACAAAAACTCAGGTGTCATCTACCAATCTTACTTTATAAATGTCAGCCTTGATTCGCTCGCACGACACAAAAGGAATTGCCAAGCATCTGGCATCTTGCAAACATAGTTGGCTACACTTGATGTGGTAATTTAAGTGCAGTCAGCTTGAAGACGCTGCTCTTTTTTATCGGTGTAGTAATTTGCCGATTGTGGCTGTTTGGCAAACTCTACAACGGAAAGGTTGTTCTTTTTTTGGATAAGTTCGCGGAATAATTCTAGGGTTCCCATTGATAGAAATTCGGCTTTAACGCAAATGTTACTATGAGACTCTCGCCTATCAATACAATCGATTAAGTAGCTCGTCATATGTAACTTATTTTTTAACTGATATATGTTAGTAAGATTGTCTCAACTATTTTATCTTTTAATTCGGTGTGAAAAGAAAAGAGTATTTGAACAGTTTTTATTATTTATAATTTAATTAACAAGAACTGGCTTATGTCAGGATGATTTAATTGCTTATTAAACCGTCCATAATGTTTGGGCCTTTAATTAAAATAAAATCATCTTTAAATACAGTCTTATTAGATAATGTTTCATACTATTTAGCATAATATATACATATGTATGTAAACTGCGCGTGCATGAAACATATATTAGTACAACTGAGCCCCAGGCTTACGTACAAGCAATTCTGAACTTGTTAACTGACTACAAGTGTTTCAGTGGTAGTATAAACAATTATATACCAATAATAAAGCATATTTTATAAAGAATTGCGTATCAAAGTGTCGAACAAGTTAAGATGAACAAGCGTAAACTCAAATTTAGATACATATGTCAAAAAACTGGGCGGAGTTAACAAATTAAAATGGAAGCACAGGCACTTAAACTTTTCATAAGAGCAGTTTAAAAAATGGTTTGATGAAAATGACACCAGGTAATCATTAAAAAATTTTCAAGAATGTTCATTCATCGAGATAATCTATTGTTTTTGTTGCGTATCGTCCACCTGTTAAATTTTTAGCAGTTGGCTACAGCTGTTTACATTATCCGCGTCTTGCAGAGATAAATTACAGTAACAAAATGTGCAATACCATAAATCAAATTCAGTATGTGTTTTTTTGTTAAGACGTTTATATCTATTATTCCTTCCGTTTTATACTTTATAGCATGATGCTTTTATAAACTATTGGTAACAATATAGACAGAATCTGATACTACCAATGGAATTATGCCGGCTGTCCTCTATGAAATTTTTTGTTAGATCAGACTCGAACAAAAGAATCACCCAATAAACTACAATAGTATAGAAGATACTGTGAAACACATCTTCAACTTTGTCCGCCTGGCTACAATGGTTAAGAAAGTTAGTCCCTGTCAGACTATTTCTAAACCATTTATTCATTTGTATGAACTTTTATTCGGTGTACTTTATATTTAAACGGCCTCTAAAAATTCTATTGACGTACAATTACCGTCTGCTGTCTTTGTTAAGTGTTCGTTGCTCTATACTAAATAATTTAATTCAATAGAACGTTGTAAAAATAAATGTAGTATCAAACTAGCACGTCAGTATATGTCTAGGCTCTAAAATATGTGTAGCAACCGTGTCTAACGTCTAGAAAAAGTAATTCGTTTCCACAAATACTATTTACAGATTAGTGTCGTATTACTACAGAAAGGAACAGTGTGGAAGCCATAAGTCAATCTTCTGGAAGGTTTATATTTATTTGACGCCACTCATCATACCAAGATTCTTCTCTCTATTAACACTATGCATTTGTGATCTTTAAATAAAATAAAAAACTCGCGTAAGACTGAGTACTAACTAAGTAAATATCACATTTAAGTCGGAATAAGAGGGTAGCATATCAACTCAACAAAAAAGTTTTGATGATAACTGTGTTGCACTAGACTTGCCGATCTTAATAAGTGACTCACAGATACCTGACATGCATATTAATGGATTCCTTGGTAATTATGCAATTTTAAGGTTGAAAAAAAAAGCCCAATCATAATTACTGGATAGTTCACTATAGTCTTCTACAAGTAGCTTAAATGAAAAGATGTTTCAGATTGAACTGGTGCCAAGATCCTAGAATACAATTATACATAAACAAAGTTAGTTTCTACCGCGAGGACAGTTTTAGAAATTTTTTGAAACTGCATGAGATCATTGAGGTTCCATGCTAAGTAGGTGTGGGCGAGAAGAAAGCCATAAACGTGAACACTAGCGCGAATAAAATAAAAATAAAAAATTTGTCTCATAACTACAAACTGTTACCAATAAAAAATCTAAACCGTTCCTTGTCTATTAATGATATTAGGAAAAAAATTAAACCAAACATCTACAGATATTCAGAACTAAAATGTTGTCTACTGCATTACCGATAGTGCTTTGAAACTTTGAGAGTACAGACATGTTTTTTAAATGCCACCCCTGAATTAAACCTTATTGATTTTAAAAATAGAGTTGCTAAGTCCAACGATAAATTAGTCATTGAGTTCATGCAAGAATTGCCGAGATATGTAACTTATTTTCCGAGCATCTCTTTAGTACACAAAATTCAATGCACTTGAACTTCAATTAAGAGTCAAACTAATGGACTACGCCATCTAAATTAACTAAAAGAGAATTGATCATCGACCTTGGTTTTTTTCTTCTCACAAACCAACAAGCTTATTAGAAAGGCACAGGCTACATTCATTATACTTTTCTAGAATAATAATTTGTTACACTAACATGTGTTGCCTTTGATAGTTACACGTACTGTTTTTTAAGGAAGGGCCATATGGAACAGCTACGTTAACAATGGCACTTTAGTTGATGATCCAAGAAACATGAAGGCTTAAAGGTCGGAGAAGATCTGAAGTGTTACAGTAGGTGCGTCAGTGTAACCAATATGGTAGATGGGAGGTATATATGGCTATAAATATAAATTTCATTATGCCTCTAGAACTACAACTGGTCGATCCGAATGGCACCGGTATCTCTGTAGTGATTTATCTGTTTTTTCGGTTAAAGTGATGTGAAAAGGATACAAGGAATGTGGGTTTTTTTTTCAGGATGCCGTATCTAGATTGAAAAAAAAAAAAAAAAAGAGTTTAGGTTTCAATGATGAAAGATTTATTGTTGGAGGTCTTGACGGAGATTAGTTTTAAACTTTCTGCTTAATACCGATATAGTCAAAGGGGCACATTATTAAGACTAACAACTGAAACATGCGTGGGGTAAGCTTTCTATTATTTTGTTTTTTAGTCCGAGAACGTAGTAATACTATTCTTACGGGGATGGTTTAAAAAAAATCTTTATTCTAGGGCTGATTTTTTTGCCCGGAACACAAAGTATAATAGAATGTGTCAATGTTTGAAACGAACAATGAAAATAAGAATCCTTGTGTCTTTCAAGAAGGGTTTGTCTCTTAACAAGCAATAATCTGTGCTCACTTAGAATGTTGTACAATAGATCACGGGCTTGTACATGGACACCCGTACACTTCTTTGTGTGTGTGTTGTGTACCCAACCAAAATAATAATAAAAAAAACTTTCTTTCGATCATTTTATAAGATAGTGAAAGATTCCTTTTAAAGAATCTAGAACTATGATATATATATACATTATGTATTTATAAATAATAATTATTACCACGCTCTCGGGCTATGTTTCATAAAATGATTTGAACGAAATTAGGAATGACACGAAGACAGGGGAAGAAAAAAAAAGTGGAACGGCCTCAAAAAAAAAAATTACAGGTACCTGAATGTTTTTGGTTTGACTGAAACGGTGATGGATCCGAAAATCAATTGTTGGTAACATAGAATTCATGTCAACCGTGGTAACAAATAGCCTATCAAAACTCAACACAAATATTTTGCCAATCTTTAGATCACAACTCAGATAGTTCTCAAGGCATGACGACAAAAAGTGCTGCCCAGGCCAGATATATGACAACACAAAACAAGTCTAAAAAAAACTTAGGATGGCTTTTTTTTCCTATCCTTCAATCAAAAATACACAAACAGTAATAACATTGTCTATGTTTATTTGTTTATTCTGATTGACTGATGGGGTCCTGACACCAGCTGCTCGTGTAATAGTAAGGGTATTCCAAGTTGATATTCATTATCCTGTATCTTCAGCTGTATGATTCCGATATAAAACGGCCACAGAAAATAGTATGTATATATATATATATAGAATGATACCATCAACATGTGGCAATACAGGATTATTAATTTTCTTATGCTAGAACATTCAACTCAAAAAAAAAAGACTCGTATCTTATCTCATTTTAGATGTGCCCAAACCATCTTTGATCTAGTCTTGAACGCTTAATTCAAGGCTTGAGTAGGTATGTGCCGATGGGAAAAAAAAAAAAAGAGTTATCAATCTTTACACTGCAGATACTGTTACAAGTCCGATTGACTTGGTGTTACAGCATGTAGACATTTTTTGTTATGACAATTCCCTTTTCCAGTATGGTTTAGACGGGAGAGCTGACGTTACTTTGCCGAAAATATATAATTTATATATCAGAAATAATTTGTGATACGAAATCTTAATATATCCCTTCCGAGAATACCAATATTATTATTATATGTGAACGCTTTGACCAAGGGACCACAGTCTTGTAGTTTTTTTTTTTTTCTTTTTTTTTTTTACAGTACAAGTCGTTTCCCCCAATTGAACGTTCGCCGATAGGTGATTTCGTACATATTTATCAGATGATATTTGGTGATTCTATTTGATTCTATAATAAAAATAAAAATAAAAATAAAATTATTTGCAATCGGGTGGGTAGTACTGAACGCGAGTAAGGTTAATGAAGCACTTTTTGTTTCCACTGACATCTCTGAGTTTATATAATTTTTATATAAGAACCAGAGGCTTTTTTTTTTTTTTTTTACTTTACTTTTCTATCTTCCTTTTTTTATTTTATATTACCAACATTCCTCATTCAATGAACAAGCACTGTAACCCAATTCAAGAAACCAAGACTCTTTCCAAAAAATCTGATGCTCTTTATTTATCATTTGCAGTCATTCAAGAAGATCCGAAGCGTATGACTAAACAAAGGCTTTTAAAAGTCAAACAATCCAGGCACCATCAAACAACTTTACCTAGTACATCTTCTGAATTGAAATTTAAAATTGAATCCATGGGAAATCACCCTGTAGATGATCATGACCTTGAAATGTGTCCTGCTAGAATTCGTCCATCTTGGCCGAAACAAATTACTCCTTGGTGGTTGGCTACAGGTCCCAATGACAAGCCTCCATTCTCGTATGCTACATTAATTGCGCATGCTATCTTTTCTAGTAAAAATGGCAGAATGACATTAAATGATATATATCTTTGGATTTCAAAAAAATATCCTACATTTCGCATCGGCACTGGTGGATGGCAGGTAAATATATATATATATATTAGCTTTTAATTTTGCTCATATAAAATGCTCACACACTTATTTCTTAGAACTCTATTCGCCACAACTTGTCACTCAATAAAAAGTGGTTCTATAAAATTGATCGTCAACCAACTCAAAAGAATCCCGGTAAAGGTTGTTATTGGACGCTCGTGGCTGGTACTGAGCAACTTTTTATCGACAATTTAACACACGAAAGTAGCTACAGCAGAAAACATCATGATATTGCTTTTACAGCCGAACTTTTTTTGGGGCGAAGCAAAAGCGACATTGAACACAAGCATGCTTCAGTATCATCACAAACAACAAAAAACGATAATACACCAACCAAATTGTCTGCTGCAAGAACACCCAGACCGTTGATGTCTCCCCTTTATACTACATTTAGAACAAGCAAGAAAACGCGTACACCAAAACGTCGTCCTTCTGAGAATAGCGACATGTTGGATGATTCAGATAATGATTCAGGTGTTGACGTCAGTAACAAGTTCATCGATAAAAAACATCCAAGAAAGCGACGTTGCACAAACAACAGGAGTAAAGCTTGTTTATCATCTGCATCGCCAACGCAAACATTGCAGCAAATCAGTTCAAGCATGATTTATGACGCACCAACAACAGCCACTTCTGACATCGGTAGCCTAAATAACTTGGTGATCAATAACTGGATGGAGGATTCATTATTATCTTCTGAAAACTTTATGTGCCACACCAACAGTAACTATCAGCCCGAATGGTCTCCTATGACTGAAAATGCTGACATGTGGTGTGACCCAACAATAGCACCCAACTGTACAAAAAGGGGACCCATTACCATTGATTTGGAAAATGAAGAATCCACACTTATATACCATCACTATGAAGAAAACTATTTACCTTACTATGACTTTACAACAGACGACTTATACAACTATAGCTTATACCCCAAAACATTCACTCCTTCTATTTCTATTGATACCAATACCGTTCCTTTGTCTTATCCCACAATTCCTCTTTACAGTAATTACCAATTACAACAATTTGTATCTATGCAGGACATACTATATTTATAATTTATTCTATTTCTTTTTTCCTTTTTCATGTAAATAAAACCTTCTGTTGATCATCGCGTAAAAAAAAAATGCAAATGTGGTTCCATCAAAATATTTATTATTATCAAATGACATATTGCCTAGACAAACAAATATATTTTTGTTTGTATGGAGAAGGATGTTATACAATATGTGTATAGGGAGATTACTTAATGCACCACACAAACAGTATGATTTACATTTTTATTCTGAATGTAAGACTGTCTGTGATATGGCGTTTATTATATAATGGGCACGCGACTCGGTTGATTTATTGTGGGTTTTGGGAAGAATAATAAAATTTCTTAGAAAAAAAAAGAGCCAGCTTAAGCCCTTAGCTACTTAGTATAAAAATGTAAAATTTTGAACTTTTTTTATGGATTGCATCTCCACACTATTACGTATAAGAACTCATTTTTGTAATATTAGCTATTATTGTCGCTTATTTGAAGTATGTATAAAACTAACTTGGTTCAGCTGAGCGTTTAAATAATATGCTGAGTAAGAATTAATGAAATATTGATGTAGATCGCTTAGATTACCCGGTTTCAAAAACAATCAGTATCTTAGCCCTTATGTTGAAGCATTTTGTTTAAAGGTGAGTCTATTAAGTTCTTCCTTACGATTAAAAAGCTCTGAGATATCAGCCTCATCGCTTTTAAAACTCCTGCTATCCCTCATGTTTATCAATAAGATTCCATCGAACTTTAACGCTGGTATTGGTTAGGACTGATAATCGAAGTGATTAAATGGTCGGATGTGTTAAAAGTGTAAATGAAACAATATGTTAGGGCTTATAAGAAACGTTTGTAATTTTTTCCAGACGCTTTTCAGTTAAATCGTTAATATATTAGTCGATGACTGTAAACATTTTTATCGCGCACAAAAAATAGTTTCCTCATCCTTAATAACTTGTATTCCTCGTATATTTGTGATTATTCAGAGAAAACAGGCGCGAAAACCCTAATATTGCAAAAGAACACCTGTCTGCGCATGGAATTTCATCAAATATTTTGTCCGAAAAATTATAGTAAAATGGCATTTATTATCCCAAACCATCAATACCGAATTTTTACAATGTATCAGTCATATATACACTTAATATATTTTCTTTCCTTGAGCACAAACAAGCATTTTCGTCTGAGTTCCTTGTGATGAGAGAGGGGAAAGGCAGTCATGATACATAAACTGGGCAAAAACATCATTTTTGTGCGTCATCTACACTTTTTATCATTTTTTAAAAAAAAATCCAATTCTTTCTCTATTTACAACAATTTTGAATGGATAGGTATTCACGAGGATACGACGAGCGTTATAGAGGATACTATGATCGCCCTCGGTCTGATACATATAGACCGGGTGAAAATTATAGATCAGAGAGGGATTACAGAGATGGTGGCGTAAGGGGTGGACGGAATTATTCTCCCAATCCTCATTACTCATCTGGCAATGGAAGAGGTGGTGGTAATAGTGGCAATGGCAATGACGATAGATATAGCTATTCGGATTCAAGACCATACTATCCACCTTCGAGAGGCCCATCACCTTCTCGATCCGATTCTAGATCGCCAAGACGTCCATCGTATGGCTATTATCGTTCCGGGCCTTCGTCTTCATACCCATACAACCCCAGAAGATCGCCTTCACCTTCCAACGGTGGCCGCAGTGGAAGTTCAAGTAGAAGGGATTCTTATGATCATCGTCCATACCATAGTTCACCCAATTACCCGTCGTATCCATATCACAGAAATAGTAGTCCTTACCCACCTTATTCTGCGAGAAGACATTACCAAGGCCCTCCTCCTTCATTTCCTCCTTCGAATAGCAGTGGTTATCATAGCCGAGAGAATTCTTCAGGCCCTTCTTCTCTGCAACAACACCAACCCCCGCCTCCACAACAGCGATCAATTCACTCCACACCTACTTCAACTGCGCCTAACTCGCCGGGACATTATAATCACCCTCCGGCGCAATCCCTTACACCGTCTACACAAAGCCAACAACAATCTAATGAAAACATGAGCAGTTCAACCACTACATCTGCCATGAATACCACTTCTTCTATTGCCACTAACCATCCTCCACCCCCACAACAGCAACAGCAACAGCAACAGCAGCCACCACCTCCATCTGTAAACACAAATTATCCTCCATCTTATCCTTATACAACGCCTTCTGCTTCATCTTCGTATCCAGGTGGGAATACGGGATCTAATGCCCCATTGAGACCTCATCACCATAATCATCATCATAACTCTCACTATAATAGTAGTTATCAGTCCCATCATTCTTCTCCCTCTGTCGCTATGCCTCCTATAAGACAGAGAGTATCTTGGGCTCCTGATCAAGAAAAAGAGGTAAATAATGGGGAAAAGAAGATATAAAAGCTTAAGAATAATAACAATATAAAAAAATTGCATAGGTTGAAAGGTATCATAATGATCAGCGCAAGCTATGTGAAGAAGAAAACAAAATTTTGATAGCGTCTCGTAAAAGTCGCTTTGAGTTAGAGCTAGCAAATTGGGATACTAGAAAATTAGAGCATCAATTGGAATTGGTACAAAAACAATGGGAAGAGAACGGGATGGAAGATTTGATTCGAGATGAGCTAAATTCAAGATTGCCAGGTAGAACTGCTCATACAACAACTGTTCGTACAGTGACAGTAACGACCACGAACACCCAAATTTTGTAATCATTTTTTTAATGCAGCATAAAAAGTGTATATAATAAAGTTATTTGTAAGAGAAATACACAGTAAGGTATAAAGTTAAGGGACTATTTTGTAGTGTATTCAACCGTAACATTACAAACACTTTTGCTTGTGCTTTGAATGGATTCGATCTCATCCGAAGAAATCGAACTAATACGGTCCCGATACACTTCATCGAAAAGCTCCTGTTGACCACCCAATCGAATTTCGGCGTTATATGAGCTTGCGAGAGCATCTTTATAGACGATCTTGTAGTACCAAAGACCGATCGAGATAATTGCAAGAACAATTGTAATAATGTAAGGTACTACATAATCGAGGAATTTGTTAAAAATGATGCCTCGTTTTCTGTTAATAAAACTTACGCCAGTATGGATACCCGTTAGGTTTTGTTTCAGGCGGTACGAATACAAAGACTAATGTGTACAAACAAATGATTATGAAAAAAATAGCCACGACTACAGGTACTTTGAGTGGACGTTTGATATTGGGCTGTGTACGACGCAAAATAAGCAGACCGATAACACTCATGGCTGAGAAAAAATAATTTCCGTAACCAGTAAAAGCAACAATGAATTGAAATGCGGACCCAGGAGGAGGCGCTAATAAAAATATTAATGCAATAACATAAAGTAGCACAAGTGAATAAATTGGCGTATGCAGCTTGGGATGGACTTTACTAAAAAACCGATCGTAAGGCAAAAATCCTTGTCGAGAAGCTTCAAGGACAACCCTAGAACCAGAATAGAACACGACACCGACAAATCCGAATGAGGAGCTACCTACAAGAACTGGTAGCACCCGTGAGCCAAAAATGCCACCAAAGGCCGTATTAAATAGGTTGGCTGCAACTGTCAGATTAGATGCTCTAATTACAGAAAGAGGTAAAACGGCCAGATAAGCTGAATAACTTGAGGTTAGATGTCATTATATAAAATTGTTTTAGTGCATATATTACCAACATTAGCCAAGAGATATAAAACAGTTGTTAAAGAGAGAGCTGTGATTGCGCAGCGAGGAAGATTCTTGATTGGATCTTTAAGCTCGTCAAGAACATAATTAAGATTATACCAACCCCCATAAGCATAAATTACGTAGTAAATTGCACTTGCGTAAGATCCAGGATTCTTCAAAGTTCCGTCAAATGAAAAGTTTTCAGATAAGTCTGGTCCGTCGGAAAACCGCCCAGAAAGACCAGCAAACCCTACACAAATCAAAAGGGCCAGTAAAGTGATTTTAATTACTGTAAAAAAGTTGTTGGCACGAACAGCGGCCTTGCTGGAGAAAATATTTAAGATTAACCAGAACGTTAAACAAAACACTATGACATAGGGTTGTCAGTTACATTTATCTACGGATTTATTATGAGCAATACATACCTGCAAATCCTCGAGCTCCCCAATTGTTTGTGTAGCTAGGTCCACCAATTGCATAAATTATATTGCTTCCAAACACTGTCGCTCCCTACATAATTAAAGCATTAAATATCACATCAATAGTTATCTATTATTCATACCTGTGCTAAACCTGCCCCACGAGAAAATATCCCAACCATAATCAAAAAGACAAATGACACAATCTGTTTAGGTTTTGGAAACTGATAAGCAAGATATTCTTGCTCTCCGCCACTAGTAGTACAGTAAAGAGTATAAGTTTTGATAAAAGGTTTTAAACAGTATATTGGCGTACCTTTTGGGAAGCATCGTACCAAGTTCAAGATAGCACCATACACCTGTACCTGCAAACACCGCACCAACAACCCAGAGAATCAACATCATGCCACCGGAGCCGCTGTTGATTAAAATCAACGAGGGGTTAGAAAAAATTCCAGTGCCAATAATCATGCCCACTAAACGAGTAAACAAATTTAATATTTATTTTAAGGAGCGTCTATTAGAATAAATATAAAACTTACCATTCATCAGTGTTCCGCTGAAAAATCCCAAGTGCCGGTTCAATTTTTGATCGCCAACAGCCAGCGGCGATATGTTTTCTATCTGTTGTGGTTGTGCTTTTCTGTGAGGAGAATCTTCTTGTAATGGCATTTATGTGGATATATACTTGAATCAATGTAAGATTTTGAATGGAGAAGAAAAAGATTGATATAAAAATTAATGAGCTTAAATACATCTGTTCGTAACCAACCGGAAAGTTACGCCATAACATTGATCTTCTCATACATATAAAATTTGTATCAAATCACTCCTTTATTTCGACTTTCAAAAACAGATGAAGGAAATATCTTCTCTTGCGTCATGTGTTCCTTTAATAGACAAAACTTATTGACTGTTTTTTACTGTTACACTGCATAAATGGTGTCATTTGAAGAATATGTATGTGTTATTGTCATTTTTCCCTTTGATTCAGATCCAAGTACTGTTATTAAATAATAAAAATACGCCATCAGTTATACGCGAAGTCCGGATAAAGTTAATTCCAATTCCTCGACTGGAAATGTAACATCTAATTTTCGTACATTTTTGCTTTTATCACGCAAAACCTGAATTATGCAATATTACTGCTTTTTAGATGTTTCTCATAACAGATTAACTTTGAATTAATAATCAACTTTCAAAACAGAAATTTATAAATACGTACAGATATTGAGGTAAACTTTGATAAATCGTTAATTTAATCTTAAATCAATACAATGCCTACTGTTCAATTGCAAAACTCTTCCCAGCCTGACTTTACTTACTTACCGGATCGTAA